GAGAGAGAGAGAGAGAGAGAAAGAGAGTAAATTGCAATTATTATTAACATTTAACATCAATATAATAATAATTATTATTATGTAACTATTGTTTTCCCAGTAGTAGTATTAGTATAATAGTGTACTATATTTTAGACTACAATTGTTAAGAGTTTTTATTTTGCAATAAAACATAACTTATTAATGTTTGCTCTCTCTCTCTCTCTCTCTCTCTCTCTCTCTCTCTCTCTCTCTCTCTCTCTCTCTCTCTCTCTCTCTCTCTCTCTCTCTCTCTCTCTCTCTCTCTCTCTCTCTCTCTCTCTCTCTCTCTCTCTCTCTCTCTCTCTCTCTCTCTCTCTCTCTCTCTCTCTCTCTCTCTCTCTCTCTCTCTATATATATATATATATATAAATATGATATATATAAAAGTTTTGTTAGTATTATTACAATATACACACTACTACTGTGTGTTGTGTTGTCAACAATTGTCGCAAAAATATGTTATATGATATTATTGACTATAATATACACAAACAATATTATAGTGTATATTACAAACACGCATATAATATACTGTATATATATATATATATACAGTAATATAATAATAAAACAAAATTGACATACAATATAAATTAATAATTATAATTGTTTATATATATATTGTCTAATATCATATAATAATATATATATATATATATATAATAATATAATACAATATTAGATAATAAAATATATATATAACAAAAATTTCTAGTCTAGTCTAGAATATATAAATTCCATGGAAACAAATATATATATAAATAAATAAAACAATATATAAGTTATTTAGTAAATTTAGTTTTTTTTAAATAATAATAATTTTCAGTTTTAAGCTAAAAAAAATTACCAATAATAAAAATAATTAGTAAATAAATAATTTATATAATATATAATTTCCAAGTGATATATACAATAGTAGTTATACTACTAGTAATTTAATTTAATAAAAAATTAAATTAATAAAATCAATATATATATATTGTATAAAACATTACAATACTATACATATWGTAATTCAATTATTATAATTCAAAATTATAAATGTTTAAAATTTAATTTCATAAATTAGATTAAATAATTGYTAATTTATTAATCAAAAAATTTAAATTTTATTTTTTTAGATTTAATGTTTACAGATATCATTATTATATAAATATTTTAAAACTTTTATAACAATGTTATATTTGCTAAAAAGTATATAAATAATAATAAAATATTAAAAACATAATAGTTATKTTAATTAGTTTTTAAATGATAACATTAATGCTAAATAAACTTTGTTTTTTACTAAATCAAAAAAAAATAAATATTATTTTAATCAAAATAATAATTTAAWTTWTGCATAAAAATTGATATGAAATAAAAAAAATTTTTAATCTATTAAAACTGTAAWATAAATCAAAGTTTCAATAAATTTTTGATTTATTTTTTAACAAAAATTTACTATTGAATAGAAAAAGCATTGCATCTATTTATGTATATTAATAAAAATGCATTATTTTTAAAAAATAATTATTATTATCTTATTATTAATTTTTTTTAGCAAACTATTATTTTCATATAACAATATATCAATATATATATATATAGTTATATTTACATAACAACATAAATAATTAATATATATATATATATATATATTTAAAAATWAACTATATCAATTATTATTTAATAATAATTATCATATTATTAATTTTTTTATATAAAACAATATTTTAATATATATATATATAGTTATATTTACACAACAACATAAATAATTAAAATATAAATATTAAAAAAAATAAACTATTAATATATMAATTATTATTTAATAATAATTATYTATTAATATCTATTTATATATMTTAATCTAATAATAACTATTTTTATTTTTATAAAATAAAAACAATATATCAATATATAAATTTATATTTACATAACAACATAAATTATTTTATATAAAAAAAAATTTTTGAAATTTTTTTTWAAAATTATTTTTGAAATTTTTTTTTAAAATTATTTTTTCCAGAGAAAGAGAGAAATGAATTAATCTATACATCGAGGGCTGAACCAAGTTTGGCAACCCTTGAAAAAATGGCCCAAAATATTGAATGCGTGCCTTTTATTATCGGAAATCTGGTCAAACAATTGCCGATATTTATCGGTATTACCGAAAAACTAAACGACGCCAACAAACTGCACAAACCATTGGCCAATCTATTGTATATACTATTTAAGGTAAGATTTTTTTTAATTATTAAAAAAATATTTATTATATTTAATTAATTAGTTATTTTAAAAATATATTTTTTTWAAAAAAAAAGTGTAAAACATTTTTACAATTATTAGTAATAGAAATTGCATACTTAAAAATTTTAGTTGCAATTTGTAATAATAATTGTAAAATAATAATATTATTATTTTTTGAATGTTTAATTGTAAAATTAAAATTTTATTAGATTTATTTTTTTTGTTGATATTTATTTGATTTGTTTAATACTAACTATTATAATATATTATAATATTATAGTATATTTAATATATAGTATAMTAAAAATAAWTGTCTATTTATTTTCTATGAATCAATTATTAGTTTTTTGTTGTTTAGTTAATTTAATTTATAATAAAATTTTTTAAATTTTGTTGAGACTTTAAAAAATTAATTAAATTTATATACATTATATTTTAGTTAGCATTTAATTAACTATATAACATATTATTTATTTATTATAATAATAATAACTACATTTAGTAAATAATRTTAACAAAAACAAGCGTCATCGTTTTGAAACTAGTTTTTTAAATAAAAATAAATTTATAATAAATATATTTATATAATAGTTTATAATTTACAGTTTAATAACAAMATTTTTTGTAATTTTTAATAAATATTAAATTTAGATAAAAAAAAAGTTAATTCATATTTTTTACTAATAGTTTTATTRTTAAATTTAAAATTATATTTACAAAAAAAATATAAATAAGTTTTTTAATGATAATCTAAATAATACAGAAAATAAATTAATATAAAATAAAATTTTTGTATTTTTTTATAATTATTAATTAAAAGTATTTAATAAGTATCTAATTTATAAAATAATATGTAATAATATTAAATATTGTTAATTACTAYAATTATTGTTTATTATATAATTTAGATATTTTAAATTTTATTCAAAAAAATCAAATTGATCATTTGTCTAAAAGGTTTAGTATTTTTAAAAATATAAATATATTTACAAATTATATATAATTTTTATTACAGTCTAATATTAAAATTAAAATTAAATATATTTTTAAATAAATAAGTAAACATTTTTTTAAATATTTTTAATTCATCGTAGGATACAAACCTAAATAATTTATATTTAATATTAATATCAATATATATTATTTTATTAATAATTTTTAGATACAGTTATCATAATTTACTATACATAAAATATAAAAATAAATACTTATTAATTATTTTTTTAAAATATTAAAATTAAATATAATAGATTTGTATTTTTTTTAAAATTATTATTTTTATATATTTTACAAAATTATTAATTAAATTAGCATTTTATTAGATAAATTTAATTTTTTATTAAAWTGTTTTTACCAATTGTCTAACAAATATCTAAGTGTAAGTTTAATATACTTAAAATGATTAAACAATTAATATTTAATTTATTTTTTGTTGTATTTTTAAATTTAACAAGCTRATTTTTATCGTACTATTCAAAWATTTWTATGTAAAAAAATTWAAWAAAATTATTATAATCTAATAGCTAAATAAAAAAAATTGATTTCAATCTCTAATGTAATATTTATGATTTTATAATATATATATATATATATATATAWATTATACAGTTTAAAATTAACTTAATCAAATTTATAGATACTTTAAAATTATAATATTATTATTATACTTATATTTTTATTATTATTTATATTTTTAGCTAATTTATTAATCGTTGATATTTTTTATAATTTATATAAATTAATTAATATTTGTTTATTTTTATTGAAAATTTTTAATTAAAAACATTTTTTTAATTTAGAGTAATAAATTTTAATTTTTAGTAATCTAATTTAATTTTGTTTACTTATAGACTAATTAATAAATAAATAAAAATATTACTATTTAATAATTTTATTATATTAGATAATAATTATTTATTTATTTTAGTCTWATACTTAAACTGTTTAGTTTTATTTAACCAAAAAATAAATAAATAAAACAATAAGCATTATTAACTAATTAATTATTATTAATTAATATTTTTAGATTAAAAACTTAATTATTTTATTTATTATAAATATTTATTTTTATTATTTTTTAGACAATTATTGAGGACATATGCGGCGATACTGAACGCGATTAYCGAAAATCGCGACACAAAAACTTTTCATTCAACCGATGCCGCAAACTGTTAGCCAATGGCCAACAACTGGTGGCCGACAATCCATCGGCCAAACAGCAGCTAACTGGCCATTTGGCTGGTCTGATGCGWTCGGCTATCGAGTGCCTGAAAGGCGGCCAATCCTTGCAATACACTTCCCTGTTGTTGATCAACAAAATTATTGACACAATGATTGTCTACGAGTTGTCCGGTTTGCCTGTAGTTCAACAATACTGTGATAGTTATCCGATAGAGTTGTCGGGCACTGGTAGTACAGATGCTCATGTAGTAGTCAATGGCAAGTTAGCCGCTCCGTCCACTGCCACCATCACCGGTGGACATAAGCCGTCAATTATTATGCGAAACGATAAGAGATCAGTGATGTCGGCGTCTGTGTCGGTGTCGGCATCGACAGCAACAACAAAGGGAACGGTATTACAATCAAATCAAAGTACAGGTGCTGCTGCTGCCGGTAGTGGTGGTGGTCRTCATCATAATCACCATAAGCTCAGATTGCATAAGAGTTGGTCSAAATGGATAGTCGGACGCCGACATCGGCGACAACAACAACAACAGCAGCAAACATCTGGAGCACCGGTAGATAAAACTACTGATGGCTTATCTAAATCGAAAAAATCAAGTGTTTTGAATCAGTCATCGACAGCAACCACAACGACAACCACAACAACAGGTCAACTGTTAGGACAGTCGACATCAATGTCATCGCCGGCGCCGCCGACGCCGTCGACAACAACATTGTTATCAATACTGGTCGCCGAAGGTATAGATCTGATACTTAATGTACTCAACAATGCCATAACATTACACAAACGGGTGACGGGATCTAAACAGTGCTGTACGCCCAGCCATAGGTAGGTGTTTCCCTCTACACCCCTCCCCTCCCATCACAACAAATACAATACTTTTTTTAAAAATAAATAAATTTATAATTAATATATTTATTAAAGTAATTTAAAAAATAAAAAACTTTAATATTATACTTGTATAGACTTTTCTATAAATCAAAACTTAATTAATTAATTAATTAATTAAATTTAAATAAAAACATGAAATAAAATTTAACTTTACTTCTATAAAAAAAAATCAAATAAAATATAAAACAAAATTATAAAATAGAAAATAAATTGAATAATTTTTTTAGTCAATTAATTAAAATAATAATTTATTTTAGTCTTATAATTTGATCGATGACTTACTATTTACTAAATTTTTTATATATTTAAAATTTAATTAATTAATTAATTACTAATAAAACATTTAGTAATTTTAGTAATAAATTTTACTCTGTTTTCAAAATTAAAAAAAATTATTCAATTTATTTGATTTTATAATTTTGTTTAATTTTATTTTTATTATAAAAGTAAAGTTAAATTTTATTTTATTTTTTATTTTAATTTAATTATTTGCGTAACGAAAATAAAACAAAAAATCTAACAAAAATTAATTATTAATTTAGATTTTTAAAACTAAATAACAATTTTTTTTATTTAAATAGATCTTTTGTTAATTATTAATATTATTTTATTTTTTGAATACAGTTAAAAAAATACTGTATTTTAGTAATAATAATTAATTATTTACCGATAAATGATAACTATTTGAAATTATAATTATTTTTTAGCAGATTTTAGCTAATTTAAAATTTATTAAATAAAAATTTTAAAAAATCAATTTCTACAAAATTTTAAATAAATTTTTTTTAGTACTATTATTATTATGTTTTATTTACAAAGTTTATATATAATATGTATAAAGTATTTTTTAATTAAATTATTAAATTATTAAAAACAATATACTCTTAAAAACTGTTAAATTTTCATTATTTAATAATATATATATAAAATATTTTAAAATATTAACTATTATTTTTAGTATAGAACATAAATATCAATATTATATTAAACTAATTTTAAATAAAATTTTTTTTTAAATGTTAGTTATGTTTGATTAAAATATATGCTTTTAATTTTTTTATTTGCTTATACAGATATATATATATATATATATACTGGTATACTGGTAAAATAATATAAAGTTAATATTATTAAAGATAATAAGATAAAATATACTGATATATATATATATATATATTAATATTAAAAATAAATTATTATAATATAATATTATTAAAAAAAATTTAAATAATAAGATCCATATATTAAATAAATGAAAACTTTTATTTATTTATACTTAATATACCATATATAAAGTCAATAACTTTAGATTATAAAAATTAATAAATTACTAATCAATTAGTGTTTATATGAGTGAATTAGTGTTTAGTATCAAATATT